TGGTTGGTCGTGCGGGTAGCAGCCACTCGATGTGTCCCTTCACGTCTATGTTTCTCTCTCTCTCTCTTCCTCTCTCTCCCTCCCGCTCTATCTGAACAAAAAATGGAAAAATGTCCTCGGGTGAGGATAAAAAATATATATATATATATATATATATATATATATATATATTAGAATAACTAATACTTTAAGGTGAAAAGAAATGAGTATTTTTCCTTTTTTTGGTGTATATATATGTATATATATTTTAATCTTTATTGTTGAATGTATTACAGATGTTCCTCATTTTTCCCCCATTGACCCCCCTCCTCCCCACTCCTGCCCCCCTCCTGCCTTTCCCCACACTGTTGTCTGTGTCCATTGGTTATGCATATATGCATATAAGTTCTTTGGTTTATTTCTTCCCACTCCCCAACCCCCCTTCCCTTTGAGGTTTGTCAGTCTAGCAACCAGTTTGTACTTCTTAATCCCTTCACCTTTTTCACCCATTCCCCAAACCCCCTCCCATCTGGCAACCAACAAAATGTTCTCTCTATCTGTTTGTTCATTTGTTTGTAGATTCAGTTGTCGATAGAGAGATATATTCATTGCCATTTTGTTTGTTCATGTTTTTTATCTTTTTCTTCAAGAAGAACCTTCAACACTTCATATAATAATGGTTTGGTGGTGATGAACTCCTTTAGCATTTCCTTGTCTGGGAAACTCTTTATATGGCCGATTCTAAATGACAGCTTTGCAGGATAGAGTAATCTGGGTTGTAGGTTCTTGCTTTTCATCACTCTGAATATTTCTTGCCACTCCCTTCTGGCTTGCAAAATTTCTTTTGAGAAATCAGCTGACAGCCTTATGGGAACTCCCTTGTAGATAACTAGCTGCCTTTCTCTTGCTGCTTTTAAGATTCTCTCTTTGTCTTGAACCTTTTGCATTTTGATGATGATGTGTCTTGGTGTAGGCCTTTTGGGTTCCTCTTGTTTGGGACTCTCTTTGCTTCCTGGACTTGTATGTCTGTTTTCTTCACCAAGTTAGGGAAGTTTTCTTGTTTCAAATAGGTTTTCGATTTCTTGTTCTCTCTCTTCTCCTTCTGGCACTCCCAAGATGTGAATATTGGCATACTTGAAGTGGTCCCAGAGGCTCCTTACACTATCCTCATTTTTTTGGATTCTTTTTTTTTTTTTTGCTGTTCTGACTGGGTGTTTTTTGCTTCCTTATATTCCAAATCGATGGTTTGCTTCTTGGCTTTACCTACTCTACTATTGAATCTGTGTAAATTATTCTTTATTTAAGTTAGTGCCTCCTTCATTTCTGACTGTGCGTCCTTCATTTCTGACTGGGCCTTTTTCATGCTCTTGAGGCCCTCACTAATTTCGCTGAGGTTCTCACTAAGTTCGTTGAGCATCCTTATAAGCAGTATTTTGAACTCAGCATCTGTTAGGTTGCTTATCTCCATTTCACTTAGTTCTTTTCCTGGGGTTTTGTTCTGTTCATTTGGGACCTGTTTCTTTGTCTCCTCATTTTGGCTGCCTCCCTGTGTTACATAGTGAGAGGTATGGGGCTGAGACCAGATGCTGCTTGTTTGAAAGAATTCAGGAAAACCTGAAGCAGGATCCAAGACAAGCCAATCCTATGGTTAAGGAACTGGCAACAGCTTGGGTGGGCCTGAAAGTTGGGTGGGGTGGGGCCTCAGGGAATCACCAGAACGGGGCTACCAGTGTGAGCCAGGTTGCTGGAGCCCCAGGGAAGGGCTCACCAAAGGAACAAAGGCCTTTGACAGCATGTTTGTCCTGGAGAAAGTCCCCTCTCCAGCCCTTGCTCCAATGCTAAACAGCTCAGTTCTTCCCTGTATGTCTCTGGTGCCCCTCGAGTTGCCTACCCTCCAAGCTTAGAGGGAGTGAGTCCGGTAAGTCTGTGCGTGGGCCCTTTAAGAGGAGCTGCCTGGGGCTCCAGCCTCCTCAGCCTCCTCAGCCTCCTTGAGCCTCAGTTCCCGCTGTTTTTTCCAGCCAGAAGTTATGGGGATTCTCTTCCTGGCACTGGAACCCTGCGCAGGGCACCTGGTGTGGGATGGGGACTCCTCAGTCCTCAGGGAGTACCTCCCAGTTGAGGTGTCCCTCCTGATTTTTCTCCACCACACGTGGGTATGGGACCAGTGCATTGCGCCTCCGCCCCTCCTACCAGTCTCGATGTGGCTGCTGCTTTAATTCCGAAGTTAGTTGTAGGACTTCCTTTCAGCTTGATTTCAGGAGGTTTTGAATGATGATCGTTCTGTAGTTTAGTTGTAACTTTGATGTGGTTGTGGGAGGACGCCATACCGAGTTTACCTACCCACCATCTTGACCGGAAGTCACCAAAATGGGTATTTTTAAAAATATATATTTTTAATTGATTTTAGAAAGAGAGGAAGGGAGAGCGAGCGAAACATTGATGAGAGAGAGGGGTCATTTGGCTGCCTCCTGCACTCCCCCTACTGGGGATGGAACCAGCAACCCAGGCATATGCCCTGATCAGGAATCACACCTATGACCTCTCAGTACAAGGTTCAGTGCTCAACTGACTGAGCAACATAGGACAGGACCGGTATTTTTTAACTTTAATTGAAATGAAGTAATAACAGTTTTCTCCTCTTCCTAAAAAAATAGTATATTTAAGTAGCAGTTAATAACTCAGTTATTTTCATTTATAGCTCATGGTTTGTTTAGTTTTAATAAAGTTGATATTTATAAAAATAGGCCAGTTGATTATTATAAATACAATTTATGTATGTATTCTGAATATATTTATGATTGTGTTTTAAAACAGATATGACCATATTCTCAAGTGGGAACTCTTCCAGCTAGCTGACCTGGATACGTACCAGGGAATGCTCAAGTTGCTTTTCATGAAAGAACTGGAACAGATTGTCAAAATGTATGAAGCCTACAGACAGGCTCTTCTCACAGAGTTGGAAAACCGCAAGCAGAGGCAGCAGTGGTATGCCCAGCAACATGGCAAGAATTTTTAAGTTAATTTTTAAAAAAATACAATTTGAGTTTTATAAGGGCTTTAAAATATTTTCACAGATAAAAGACTGCAAACAAGTACTTTGATTAATAAAGGCAGCTTTTTAGAAATTATAAAATTCTAATTTTACATGTATTTTGTTATTAAAGATACTCTTTTATTGAGAAAAAAATAGTTTATCATTTTAAGAGCCAATATGGCAAACTTCTGAATGCTGCATATTGGGAAACTGCTTTGAATATTCTCAGTGGAGACAAATACAGAAAGAAATGTAATTAGAATGAGATATTAAATAGGAAATGATCACTTGGTACTCTTATAGTACCTTTCTAAATGGAGTAAGAGATACTACCTATGCAGTATTAAAAAAAGATGTTTCCTGCTTTAGAGTGGAACATTGGAATCAAATGCTTTAAATATTACTGTTGTGTATAGTTCAAAGCATGAAATGGGATTTAGGACCTTTATTGTGATAAATTTTTATATATAATTTATGGGATTCCCCTTCCCTCCAAAATGTAAAGAACCCTTTTAAATGTAATGAAAAAGTATTTTTTGGTAGGAAAGGGTGAAGAACCTGTAATGTTAGAAATATATTTAAGGCATAAGGCCTTAGCCTGTGTGAGAAAGGTGTGTACAGCACTCAAAGTTGCTAACATCACTTGCTTTTGGCCAGGGCTTTTATAGTATTTAGGAACATGGCTCTGATGAGATAGTGGAGGGTTCCCTATAGCATAGCATGTTGCCATCCTACCAAGCAAAGTTGAGCTGCCAAAAATGACAATCAGGGATTCGTTATGAAATCTTGGTCAATAAACTGATTTTACTTATAGTTTATCTTTTAAGAGTTTGTCACAGAACTTTAAAACCCAGTATTTCCTTCCCAGTTTTTTTCCTTTTGATTTAATAGTTACTGAGACATTGTTCATATTTGCATAATACCTTTGCAGACAAATTTATGGCACATCTAGCCTATAAATCTCTAGAATTCCATGAATTTCAACATTAGTTGAAGTAACTTTTCAGTTATTATTTACCTGTGTTGTAAATATGTAAATATATTTTTACTTTAGGTAATCTTCCAAAATAAAAAGCACTCCTGGTTAGATAGCAGTTAGTTTAAATTGTTGATAAAATGTTGGAAATGTTAAATGTTTGATTTTGTACAACAAGCTTATTAAATATATTTTTGTGGAAACTAAATGTTTGAGTCCATATTTTATACATAGTGCTATAAGTATTTGATTTTTCCATTCATAAGACCTATTGTCAAAGGAAGCAATATATTGAAAGTGGTATTGAAAAACGGAAATAAGCTAGTGGAATTTCATCAGTGGAAAAAGTTACTTTGCAGAGCATGTGATCGAATTTTTCTAAGATTTTAAGTTTACATAGATTATGAACTGTTACACACTGTTGTCTTAATTATTCTTTTCTGTTGCACCTTATGGCTTAGCCATTTCTAAGAGAGTTAGAAATTACTGTTTTAGAGCTCCCAGATAAAGAGGCATTACTTTTCTTTTTTTCATTACCAAATTTTTTTTTGCTCTTAATAGGTATGCTCAATGACATTCCATTAGAGCAGTGGTTTTCAACCTGTGGGTCGCGACCCCTTTTGGGGTCGAACGACTCTTCATAGGGGTCACCTAAGACCATTGGAAAACACATATTTCCGATGGTCTTAGGCACTGAGACACAACTCCTTTGTCTTTCTCCAGGCAGGTCCACCCCCATGCAGATACACCCACATACAACATGAGGAACTGTATTAAAGGGTCGCTACATTAGGAAGGTTGAGAACCACTGCATTAGAGATTTTAGTAATTAGAAATACAGTATAGAATCACGGTTGTAAAAGACCTGGATGTTACCCAAAGGGATTAGCATGTGTTTCTTAAAATGGAAACCTAAATTTGTAATGGGGTCAACATGAAAGAAAATGCATTTTGAATTTTTAAAAAAGATAAACCATCATCGTTCTTTATCAACACCTCCAAAACATTTCAAAAGTCAGTAAGCATTTGTTTTTAATCTTAGGAACCAGAGTAAACTTTAATAGTTCACATATTAAAAGAATAAACCTATGATGAATACATTTCTTTGTGTACCAAATGAAAAAATATACAATGCAGAAACTCAAATACATACAAAATGATTTTTTTGTGCATTTTTGATCAAGAAGTTTATATTCTATATTAAATCATAATATAAAAGAAGTAATACATAGTTTTTGATAAAGCAACTGAAAAGCTCTCTTAAATGTCTTTAAAAATAAGAGCTTATGGTATATGTAAGATGATATAGTTTGAATAAAGCCTATTGACTTTTGATGCTATGCTTTAACAAATGACTGAAATAATTAAAAAATTCTTCTGTAGAAATTAAATGAGCATATCCAAACATGGAGTAATATTACTACATGGTTTAATTTATAACCCAGTAGTAGAATTTAGTAAATTCAAGCAGAACACATGTACTATCATCATAAATAGACAAATAACTAAATTATAACAGCATATTTGAAGACAAAATCAGGAAACTGTACATGTTAACAAAATGATAATAATCATGCATACATACATCTGCTATTAAACACTGAAATAAAAGAACTAAACCATTTTGCAGTCTTCAGAGGTGTTTGGTATTTTACTCTGTTCTGATGGAAGCACTGTGAATGTTTACATGGAGACATGTAACTGACTATTGGTCATGCACCTGTATTTTTTTAAATTTTGAATTAAATTGTCTTCTTTTCTGATTGTTCAGTAGATTCTGACTTTGGTGCAGGAAAAGCTTGATGATATAGATGTCTGTGGGTTGCTGCTGCATTGTAAAGCTTGTATAAAGCCTAAAAATACAAGAATACATATTATAAAACACATTAAACACACAGATGTAAAAATTTTCCTTTTTAGTGTAATTAGTTTATGGGACTATATGAAGTTTAGCTTGCTAAATTTGGAATCTGTATCAATAATCTATATAGGATATAAGTTAATAACTAATATCTTAGAACCCAAAAGTATTTTCACCTTTACAGTGTGTGTTACTACTTTGTGGTAAATGTTTTATTCTCAGACTGCATTTCCTTTGACCTTGCACACCTCTTGGAGCATAGCTTCCTAACCACTCACCATGCCCCAGGAACACGTTGAGAACTTGGCAGTTTTAGAGGAATCATAGGAGCTGGTAACTTCTTACTGCCAATATCTACTTTATACTTTTTATCAGGGCTTCCTTATAGGTTTTTCAGAATGGGGCGGGGCACTTTCAGTCTCCATTATTTCCTGATATAGTCATGCAAATAAGCACATATATTGCTCCCTCCCTCTGCCACACTGGGATCCCAGTCAGACATTGTCTTGCCTTGTTTCTATTAATTAGTTCATATTTTATAAAACCTTATCGGAAAGCCTTTTGTTCATTAAAACTACTTCTGTTTGTGTCTGTTGAACGGTGTTTGACTCAGGAACACTGATTGCTTTATATAAATGTTCATAAATATTTTTATGTTCTCTCCTCCCCCCCACCTAGTGTCTAAGATTCATTTCTTCTGACTTTCACATAATGAATACTCAGTTAAGACCAACTTATCATATGTAATTCTGGGATCTAAAAAATCTAAAGATTTTTAAAAGTTGGATAAAAGCTCGATATTCTTTAGTACCTGATTCCCAGGAAATGCCATTAATTTTGATCTTTTTAAATCTATATGGCTATTTTCTTAGGTCTAATGGTACCATCATCAGTTCTATAAATGCATATTGGTGCAACATGGTATTGTCCTAGTTCTATTATATACTGATCCTAACACATTTATTTTAGTCCCTGTTCTAAAAGCTTAGATTTTTTTCTTAAGGTTGGTTTACAACGTTGAAATTTGTTTTTACTTTAGTGAATTTGTTTTACTGAATTTTATATGAAATAATTCCTTATTGACTTGTAAATATTAAGTGTATCATTGGGATTTGATTAAGACATAATCTAGTTACATGTAACAGCAGAAACTGAGGAAAGAATTATGTGCTGTCTCTGTAGTTGTTCAAGATCAGTTTTGCTTCCTGAACACAATGACTAAAATGACTCCAGAGATAAGTTTTCTTATGTAACAAATGATTCCTTCCTGGAAGCTCAGATTCTTTCCTCAGATGCAGAGTTTGCACACGTGAAGAGTGACAGAGTGGAAGGGTGGTAGGAGAAATGGACACCAATTTACAGGTCATGTATGAGGTATGCCAAGAAAGTTATGCTGCATACTGGCCTAGAACCTGCTTAAAGTGTACACCTGTCTGTCACTCAAAAGCCGAAGTTAAAAACAACTAAAGATTATAGCTCCATTTAAAAGCTCTCCAGTAGTTAAGTTTCCTTAAGATTCATAACTGTATTTGTTTCATTCTTCAGCAGAGCAAAATGTGCAATGTTAGAGCTTAGGGATTCTGAAGTTTCCTACACAGTTAGGAAAAAAAAACCAAGATATTCATGATAATCTAGTGTTGTGTTTCAGATGCAGATCAAATCACATGTCCAGAATAAATTAAATATTGTTTTAAAACCATGTTAAAAATATACAATTAAGATTGTAAATGCAAGGAAAACATAGGTGCAGTAGTCACCAAAGACTTTCTAATCTACATTTAGACATCCTTTAAAGGCTAATCGGTTTATAAAATAAGATCAATGTTTACAAATATATAGCTCTTGATTAAAAAAATTTAACTTACCTCATTTGTACTTCCCTGTGGCAAAGGCAGTTTAAAAGGAAGAAAAGAAAAGTATCCTTTTTCATTAATAGCATTATGATATTCAACTTTGTTTACAGTATTAATACGTGAGCATTTAATAACAAATACTCCAGCTCTGGCTGGTTCAGTTCAGTGGTTAGAGCATCAGCCCTCGGAGGGTCTCAGGTTCAATTCTGGTCAAGGGCATGTACCTGGGTTGCGGGTTCAATCCCTGGCCCCAGTCAGGATTGTGCAGGAGGCAAACAATTGATGTCTCTCTCTCACATTGATGTTTATCTCTCTCTCTCCCTCTCTTCCACTCTCTCTAAAAATCAATAGAAAAATATCTTTGGGTGAGAATTAACAACAACAAAAAGAACAAATACTCCTATAAATTTTTTGTTTATATTACATATTTTATATGAATTTATTTTTTTTTAATCCTCACCCGAGGATATTTTTCTATCTTCAAATAGAGTGGGAAGGAGGGAGAGAGAGAGACACACATCGATGTGAGAGAGACACATGGACTGGCTGCCTCCTGCACAACCCAGACCAGGGCCAGGGACAGAACCACAACCAAGGTACATGCCCTTGACCAGAATTGAACCCACAACTCTCTGGTCCAAGAGCCAGTGCACTAACCTGTGAGCCAAATTGGCCAGGGCTAAAATTCTGTTTTAAAGAATATATATAGCCCTGGCCAGTTTGGCTCGGTGGTTAGAGCGTCAGCCTGTGGTCCAGAGAGACCCAAGTGTGGTTCCCGCTAAGGGCATGTACCTCGGTTGCAGTTTGTCCCCTGCCCTGGTTGGGTCATGCAGGTGGCAACCACTTGATGTGTCCCTTTCACGTCGATGTTTCTCTCTCTCTTCCTCTCTCTCCCTCCCACTCTATCTGAACAAAAAAAACGAAAATATTCCCTCGGCTGAGAATTAAAAAAAAAAAAAGAGTATATGTAAGTATACGCTTCATGCTGGGAGAATTGTTATTACTTGCTACCTCAGACCATGAGTGTTCAAAAGTCTTAACTCCAAAATTTTCTGGAGAATCTCAACTTCAGCTTCACTAAATTCCCCTAAATTTTCATGAGGTAACTGAAGATACTTCCAAAATGACAAAGTGAGTTGATTATTGTGTTTATAATGATCTCCCTTGTCCATAATCATTTATTTCAACAATGGACCATGATAAGCCTGACTCCCTAGGTCATGGTTAATTGTACCATAAAAGACAACTGACCCATGAGCAGCTGATCAACAGGTTGACCTGGACTCATGCTATGACCTGGTGCAAATGTTTAGTTCAAATAAAGATAATCTGAAGTAACCAAATAATGCTTTTAGGAGTTAGTACTAAAAGAGACAATGATATAACAACTTACGATAGTGGTTCGTATATGATCCAGGCAAAGCCAGTGCTAGTCAAATAATAGGTTGTATTAATATATAATTGAGTCACAATCAGCTAAATAAAAACTGTGTTTTCTCATACTTTTAACACTTTAATTTTCAGGATAAGAAAAAATAACACTGCTTAATCTATGTATTTTTTAGAAATATTAACTGGAAAACAGTTGGAGTACTATGCGGCTGTAAGAAAGAAAGATCTCTTATCCTTTGAGACGACATGGAGGGACCTGGAAAGTATTATCCTAAGTGAAACAAGCCAAGCAGAAAAAGACAAATACCACATGATCACACTTATTTGTGGAATATAATGAACATAACAGTCTGAGGAATAGGGTAGACCCAGAAACATGGAAGTAGGGTACAGACTGACAACCCTCAGAAGAGGGAGTGGAGGGGGTGGGAAGAGATAAACCACAGAACTTATCTGCATGTACGCATAACCAATGGACATGGACAACAAAGCTGGGACGGGGTTGGGGGGATGGGGAGGAGGGTGTCAATGGGTAAAAAAGGAGAAACATCTGTAACAAAAATAAAATTTAAAAAAAAAGTTGTTAGGACTTCGCACATTGTATTAATATAGTTAGTTGTTTGTATCTGACCATCTTGACAGATTCTAAAGTTCCTAAAAATTGGGCCCCAAGTCATGTTCATCTGTATATTTTCAACATCTTAAGATAATGCCCTGTATATAGATGGCATTCAAATGTGTGCTGAATGTAGCTTAAGAGAATTAAAAGCATTCCTACCTGGTCCCACAAGGCTGCAGCCACCTGGTCTATTACAGCTCCGAGCTCTCGGTATTCTCCAGAGTAACGGATGTATGCCCAGGTACACAGGGTGATAAGGGTCAGTCCCATTATCATATTGCATAGGCTAGCTATGATGTCCAAACCAATGAATCCAGTCACACCAGCAATTACGTATGTAATAAAGATGACAACAAACAGTGTGGCTGGAGTACGAGCTGCATGGAAGATATTTTTGCTATCATTGTGCTTGATATACTGGATATAAAGTTCATCTATTTCACTCTCCAATTGCTGCAGGTAACGCCGACTAAATTCCTCCCCACCCATCTTCTTCACCCCTCGGAACAGCTTCACGGATTCTTCCTTAAGCTCGAGATGTTTGGTCTGTAGGTCATTAGGGGCCAGAAATGGTTTGTCACCACCACAAATCTGTATCAGATGCAGAAGTATTGTTTATGCAATGCAGAGTAAGGTTAGCAACTGTATCAAAATTTTAGCTAAATTTGTCAGAACACATTAATAACAAGGAGCCTGTATATATGTTTTGTCACCCCATATCTTACCACAGTTCATAACTATCAGGTGTGACTATAAGTGGGACTGGTGCTTTATAGGTGACTTATATAACGTCACTCTTAATTTTTATTTTCTTTTTGACATGGGAAAAAATATCCCATGTTCCTCAAGATGAAAGGGCATGCCACAAAGTGAACTGCAAACTGAGTTCAGTTACAGAATGAATCCAAATTCAAGAAAATTAGTCCCTTTAGGAAAGTTTTTCTAACTGCACTGAAGTAATTTTTTGAAGTTTAATTTAAAACAATGAGCAATGCTATTAAGCTCTAAAGTAAAATCATTAAAAGTTTTCTTTGGCAGTTTCACTGATTTTTGTCTCAATGGAGTCCATTGAGTATTTTCTTCAAGAGACTAAATGGAAACATATTAAATATTCTTGGACCACGTTTTCCATTTTCTTCAGAAGACATAAGGGAAATCTCAGTTACCCATACCAACCACTTTGGTTATTTGATATTTAACTATATAAAGGATACTCTCATTATAATTACCCCTTAGTTATATCATAAACACTATTCTATATACTATATGTCCCTCAACTCTAAGGCTCCATCAATTTTTAATGTAATTTTGATTTTATAACATTTTCAGGGTGGAAAAGACCCATCACATTAGTAGATATACACAATAATTATTAGGTGCATCCTCATTGAGAATGTTAAAACCAAAGACAATATGGTAGGTGGAAATATTGGCCCTTGAGGTTTAGTTTCCTTTTTCCTAACAGGTTTTTATATGTAAGATAGAAATTCTGGAATTGTGGAATGAAGAGATGTAGTGGAGAGGGTAGCATATGTTATTTTAGCCACTAACTCATAAATTAGTGGGACTATCTGGCAAAAAAAAGTAAATAAAAATGTGTCTATTAAATATAGAAGTAACATTTAAAATACTTTGAGCCCTGGCCGGTTTGGCTCAGTGGTTAGAGCGTCGGCCTGCGGTCCAGAGAGACCCGGGTTCGGTTCCCACTAAGGGCATGTGCCTCAGTTGCAGTTTGTCCCCGGCCCTGGTTGGGTTGTAAGGGTGGTAACCACTTGAGGTGTCCCTTTCACATCGATGTTTCTCTCTCTCTCCCACTCTATCTGAACAAAATAAAAACAAAAACAAAAATAAAATACTTTGAAAATTGTGGATAGTGTTCTTGGGTTTTTAAAATATATTTTAGGAATACAATAAATAGAAATGTTATACACATAGGCTAAGAAAGAATAAGTCGAAGCCACCTCTTTACATTTGTATGCAGTATAACTTGGAAGAAGGAATGAGCTCATGGGAGAAATACTGATTTTATTTTTAAAAACTTACAATATAATTTAATTCTTACCTCTTCCATTTTTTTGTTGTATGTATCCTTGGCATTTGCCACGGCCGCTAAATTGTTAGCTTCTGCTGTGGCCTTTGGACAAAGTACAAAATATGATGTAAAATGGAATTCATATTTATTAACTATCACAGGCAGTTCTCATTTATAAGCATCATATGCAAGAAATGTGCAAGAGCCCAAGCTCATCAAATAATTTGAAATCGTTAAAATATTTCCACTACATTTTTAAAAATTAGTAAAACTAAAATTTCAAAATGCATAACACTTAGATGTTTACTCAATAAACCACAGTTCTAAAATGAATTTTCATTTGGAAGATATTTTTCCTGTTAAATATTTTTAAGCCTCTCACCAGATTGGGGCAGGAGAGGGGGATCTGTAAAACCAAACACATGGGAGCCCTGGCTGGTTTGGCTCAGCGGTTAGAGCGTCGGTCTGCGGACCAGAGAGTCCCGGGTTCGGTTCCTGCTAAGGGCACGTACCTTGGTTGCAGTTTGTCCCCGGCCCTGGTTGGGGTTGTGTGGGTGGTGACCACTCGATATTTCTCTCTCTCTCTTCCCCCCTCTCTCCCTCCCGCTCTATCTGAAGATAAATGCAAAAATATCCTCGGGTAAGGATAAAAAAAAAATTAAAAACCAAACACATGGAAATAATATATAGTACATTTTACATATATTAATATATATATAAAATGTCAAATGTAAGGACTGCTACTGATATAACAATGTATCTGATAACAAAAAGGAACTATTAAGAACTTAATTTTTTAAATAAGTAAGGAAAAGGCCAGTTCCACCACTTGTTTAAAACCTGGACCTGCTTTTCTACTTCTTGTTACATGTATGAATCTAAACCACAGTGTGGGTCTAAACAAATTTAATACAAAGAGAATAAAAACTCTGATATAAAGTGTTTGTATCTCAGAACAAGTGAGGCTGCTATATGTTTGTGTGAAAATGTTTAGCTAAACACATGAATGGCAATTATTAGAAAAATAACCTTCTAATAAATCATTCTACTATTTTAATTTGGTAATTTCTGACAACCAGATTGGAGCATATCTTTTGCTTAGCATAGCATAAAGCTAAGGAAAGCTTAGCTTTAGTGACAAGTATGTTTTAAAGTGTCATGCCTCCTGATTAATAAATACCTGTAACATGGATTTGGGATGTGGTAATTCTTCACCTTGATAAATCTTTATATAAGCCTAAAAGAAAGAAAAAGACTCATGTTCAAGTAATTCTATTCAATATTTTTCTAATTCTGTTAAATTGTATTCTAAGGTCTAAGGTCTTGACAGTACCAAAAAAATAAGGTCTTGGCAGTTTCAGTATTATCTTTTTCTCATACTTTAATTCCCTTTTTCTTAGTTCTTGTTTTCCCTTTTCCTGAAATGCCTTTTTCACACATCTCCACTTGCCAATCATACTCCTCTTAAAGACTTAACTCACTTCTGCCTCTTTAAAACTTCCTCGGATCCCTCTGCTAGGAACAACCTTTCTTTTTCAGTTACCCACAGGAATCTGTACCTGCTGATGTCATAAGTTCATGGAACAGATTTGTGTAAGAGTCCTGAATCTCTGCCCTGGCCAGTTGCTCAGTGGTTAGAGCATCGGCCTGCAGACCAGAGAGTCCTGGGGTTTGGTTCCCGCTACGGGAACGTACCTTGGTTGCAGTTTGTCCTCGTGGGTGACAACCACTCAATGTGTCTCTCTCACATCAATGTTTCTCTCCCTCTCTCCCTCCCTCTCTCCCTCCTGCTCTATCTGAAGATAAATGCAAAAATGTCCTTGGGTAAGGATAAAAAAAAAAAAAAAATTGAGTCCTGAATCGCCTACGAAATTCTAAGCTCCTCCACAGTGTTATGCATAGTAAGAATTCATATTAAATAATATTAAATAAATAAATAATACTAAATAAATAATATGTTGTTTATTACTGAGAGTGATGAAGGTCAGTAACTGCACAGCAGGTATATGACTGCATTTTAAATGACAAATACGTGATTTTTAAAACTGGTATTTGAGTCCTTGGAACATCAATACACAAATTAGATTGGTAACTGAAATTCTTCATTGTATTTGTGGATTGGTAATAAAAAAATAAATTAAAAAATGTTGTATTCAGTGCTACCTGAAGTAAATAGGTAAATGCAAGTTTAAAATAATTCCACTTCACATTGGCCCTTGGTACAGAGTGGGAAATGTGAAAGCATTTTCTCCAGTAGAAAGGCAAGGTGTAGCACCTTGGAGAAAACCTTCAGAATGAAGGCAAAATTCATATAGGTCATAACTGATGACTATGCGGTATGGACCCTGGGAAACACCCCCCACCTCAATATAAAAGACTTTTCCAACTCTTAGATGCATTCATATTTCAAAACATATTTCCCTCTAGATAAAGGGGGACAGTAAAATTACCTCAAGGAGTTTTCTCAAAAAATTCCAGAAAGCAAGTTCCTCTTGGGAATCTCTTAATTTTTAATCATTTTTACAGATTCCTCATACCTTTGACACCATTTTACAGAGTGTATAATTTTTGTTGTAGTAGTTTCAAGTAGGACCTGCATCCCAAACATGTCAAATCTAAGTACTCACAAATCCGCTGGAAATGAGAGCAGTACCTTGAAGTACTCCACCAGACCTCGGCAGGTGATTTTGTTCCCATTGATCTCTTTAATATCTAGGCTCTCAGGACTAAGTAGCCAAGGAATGAGTATTTTCAAGTTTTTGATGAATTCGTCATCTATTTCTACAAATAAAAGCAAATTCGTCATCATTTAAAAAATTCTAGTCCTCCATGCCATCCATACAATAATACATCCTTTGATTTCCTCTATTTCTTCCCTAGTGATAAAGCATTCACTTTCCCGTCATCTAAACAACTCCTGAAACCCACTTTTCTTAGGGTGAATGATCCTCTCTGCCCAAACTTTCTACTGCTGGTCTTTCTTATCTCCACTTCAATTACACATTTATCTTGTCTTCCACTTATAAAATACCTTTCTTGATATTAAACATTATACAAGTATTTTATACCCCATTCACATAACATTCTGTGTATTCTGCCTTTAAGTTAATTTATGGTTTTACATATAGGCTTATTAATGGGGGGAAAACCAGATATTTATTAGCTGAGAAGATGTATTCCCTCCAAAAAATGTATCCAAAATTGTTCTGTGTTTAGTGTGTCCACTTTATGAAAAGTGTATAGAACCTGGGTATAGTGTGGTAACTAGGAACTGAAGTTCAAAAAGAGAGCCATGATAATGCTACCTCTAGTGGTGAAAGTCAGCAACACAAAATAACATGGCAAGAAAACATTGAGGCCTCATAGTGAGCAGATCAGAGGTAATTAGAGTTATTTATCTATCAAGTTTGGCACAAGTTATTACATATAATCCATGTTATAGCTTTAGGTTAATCTTAATATTACAGACTTAGCAAAGTAACAAAGAACATAGATCTTCAGAGAACTCTTTGAACACAGCGACAATTTCTTAAAACGTTATTTTAAAACATATAGAATACACATAATATATGTAAAAAGCAAAATATGTCCAGAGACTTGATATCTAAGTAAATGCAGTAGCTGCATATAATTTTTAAAAACCTGAATTTTAGCAGGGTCACTGAGATTTCAGGCTTTGAGATTGGTGATTTCCAAGGTCTGAAGGGTAAAGATGAAAACCTTATGATTGTGTTAGCATTTTCCTTGCTTGTTTTTATAGCCCAATATACATTGAAATGCCAGTTTACATAAGCATTTATGTTTCTTTTCTATTGCTTGCTGTTTATGACATGCATGAGCAGACACTGGAAATCCTCAGACTTATTTTTCCTCATATTTTGTACAGCTTTGATATTTTAGTGTCCATATTTTATGACTATTTGTATAGTTTATTCACATATATTTTGCTGTTTTCATTGTACCAAATTTTACTTATAATTTTGCTTTGTATTATATATAGATGTATTCAAATGTATTTATTATTGAGGTTTGCTATATTTAGTTACCAGTGTTCACTGAAATATAATACTGGTATTTGTATTATATTACCACATTCCTGTGTTGTATTTTGTTACCTACTATGTATCTGTACAGATTCACTGATACTAATAGGTTTCTTTTTTGCTATATGATTTTATGTTTTTTCAGCATCTGCAGAATATTACTATATATCAAGAATGTATTTTTTCGGAATTTCTGCATAAAACAAAAAAAGCTTTCTCCTTATAAAAACACCTTTAAGTCATTTTCAAAACATGTACTGACCGCCCCCCCCCCCCCAATTTCCTTATAAAAACTGGAATTGAATAAGATACCTGTATATCTAATTCCCCAGCAAATGTGGTCATCATCATTAAAGTAATCAGCATATTCAGATTTAAAAATGTGTTCTGAAGACAGTATTAGCTTTGGTCTAACTTTGTTCTCAATGAAACCAATGCCAGGTATTTCAATTCAGAAAATATGAACAATATATTCATAATATACAAGGTAGTGAGCTCTTGATAATATTAGTTGAACACAGTAATTTATGATCCAGAACATCTGCAGACCAGTTCAGATCAAATTGCAGAAGTATACTAATCAGCTTTGGCTCACTGCAACTGTTAAATAAATATGTGTGGGTAGATTATTATTCAGGATGATGTTCTGTTTTCATCATTTCTTCAATGATTTTTGCCACAAGAGTAAAACCTTGCTAGGAATTCAGAGATTAGCCCAAAGTGGTTATCTGTCACAATAATTGAGGACATGATGCATGCTTTATAAGATCTCTGAAGGGCAGATGCACTGGTGTAGTGCTGCCATGTAAATTAACCAAGGAAGAGATTTCCTCAGGATTACCTGCCTCTAACAAACCATTAGAAACACATTTTTAAAAATAACTACCTTGTGATGGTGTTGGTTATGCTTTCTGAAGTCTTAGCTAGAGCTGCTAAGGATACAGCTCCACAGTTTATGGTGTGGTTACCTGGTTGTTCTACTTGGGCACTGTAATACAGAGCAACCTCAATAAAAGGTGACTCCTTGCTCTGCTGGTGTGGCTCAGTGGACTGAGCATCGTCCCATGGACTGCGGTCCCGGATGGATTCCTGCCTGGTCAGGGCACATGCCTGGGTTGAAGGCTTGATCCCCAGTAGGGGGAGTGCAGGAGGTAGCCGATTGATGTTTCTCTCCCACATGGATGTTTCTTTCCCTACCTCTCTCTTTAAAAAATCAATGAAAACATATTTTTTTTTAAAAAGGTAACTCCTGCCCTGGCTGGTTTGGCTCAGCAGTTAGAGCGTTGGCCCACAGACCAGAGAGGCCCGAGTTCAGTTCCCACTAAAGGCATATACCTCAGTTGCAGTTTGTCCCCAGACCCGGTTGCAGTCATGTGGGTGGCAACCACTTGATGTGTCTCTCTCACGTCGATGTTTCTCTCTCTCTCTTCTTCCTTCTCTCCAACCCACTCTGTCTGAAGATAAATGCAAAAATGTCCTTGGGTAGCCCTGGCCAGTTTGGCTCAGTGGTTGAGTGTCGGCCTGAGGACCAGAGAGTCCCGGGTTCAGTTCCCGCTAGGGACACGTACCACACACACACACACACAAAATGTTCTTGGGTAAGGATTTAAAAAAAAAGGTAACTCCTTGTTTAGTAAAAGATTGGATTTACTATGCTAGGGGAGGTATTCTGTAGGCATTTGGTAAGGACTGGTTGAATGTAGCATGAATGAATGTGATTCAGTGCTTTTGGTCCTTTTGATTTCCTATGTGGGAAGTTATTAAATCAATAATAATTGAATTTAATCATAGTATTTTAAGTTTTAAATAATAGTGGGAATAGTAAAATAATTTCAATAATGTGAGGGAGTAATTATAACAATTATTACTATTAGTAATGAACTTGAAAGTTATAAGTATGTGAGAAACTATTATCAAATAACAATTTTTGCACAATTTCTTATTCAGAGACATTTCTTCCCCAGAGGCAAACACTCAGATACCAGCCCTCTGGAGAACAGCATGGCCAGCACATGAGACATCCTGGACAGAAATCACACCAAATTATAAGCTTCAGGATGGGATGGAAAATATATGCCCAGGGAGAAACAGGCAAAATAGAAAATTTCAGCACACAGCAGGGTTCTGCAGAAGTCCTATAAACCTCATCAAAATGGAATTTTTGATGGGAACCTAAACCTGCCTTTCATTGCTCTTTCTCTCTGGCTACTTTGGTAAACTCATAACTTGTAGGTAACTGTAAATCAATTGTGTGGGTCAATACATATTTAGACATGAATAAAATTTGATGAAGAACAGATCTGTTAAAAAGTGGGATTCTATATCTGCATGACTTGCCTTAAACTCTCTTCCTGAGATCTTTCATTAAAATGTATCTGTTACTTGAAGAACTTGTATAGTACAAGCCAGAGTACTTTTTGTTCAATAAAGGATTGTTGTTGAAGGTCTGCCCCTCCTCTGCCTGTTTACGGCTTCCCAACTCCAGAGAAGAAAGAGAGGCCTTGTGGGAGCGCTCTTTATGTAATTTATTCAAAACACATGGAAGCCATTAGGTAATTGCATAGTATCAAGAGGTCTGTGTGCTCACTCATGGATTGGAATTCATAAATGACAGTGAAATTGTAGGATCCTGGAATCCATGCATTAATAGCCTACAGCTATTTGTTCTGTTATATAAAGGTAAGATAATTTAAAACAAATAAAAACAATGCTGATGATTGAAAAATTTGGGATTCTATTTATGATACTAACTGCCATAGTTAAATATAAAATATCTGAAGTAAAGGCTGTGGATGGGTTTTGGGATGGGGAGGATAGGTTTGCTTTTCAAACCTGCCAGTTCCATAAAACTGGATATAAGTCATGTTGTCCTTTTTAAGAAAGTACTTTTAAAGCCCTTTGAGAACAATTGTGCTGAAAAATTTATGTCACTGTCTCACCACCCCTAGCACAATGCAGAAAGGCCACAGTATATTAAGCAAATGTCTGAACTCAGTGGTGTACTACTCAATGCTAGGTAAAAAAGTCAGAAGTGTCTTTGTACTGCCTTGTATTACCTACAAAGCAAATATCTAAAGACCTGGTGATTATCTATTAGGAAAGATTAACTTCTGTTTCCTCATACCCCTACTCTCACCCCCTTGAACAGGTTGAGTTGCTTTGGAATCTTAAAATGTTAGACACGCCTCTGTCCAAGAGAGAACTACATACTATAGTACATACTATTTGAAAAATAGTGCCTTTGGTTTTTAAAAAACTGGTTCTCATCTAGAAGAGGATCTAATTTTTAGTGAAGCTTTTAATAATTTATAATTAGATTATTTAGTAGCAGTTTTAAATAGCTTGAATTCAACACTATGCAATATATCAATCTATAATTATATAACAACGCAACATCCCAGTAATACAGACATCTATTTATCTATTTTCCCCCTTTAATGTAAATAAGAAAAATTAAACAGGAAGACATTAAGGAGCATTTCTCAAAACAAAGAGGTGAGCAGAAACCTCTGGGAAAGGGTGAAGGTTACTGCCTCCCAAGTAAACTCAGCATTTAGCTTGTCTTCTCAATGTACATATTCATTGGCTATAGAATCCCACAGTCCACCAAGGAGGTGCTCTAGCACCAGCCCAGGAATCCCAATTTGCTTGACAATTTCTAATCATCAGCCTCACATCAGTGAATGAACTAAACAAGCAGTTATAAACCCAGCGTAAAAATGACATTTTATAATCAGATTAAGTGATGTAAACATAATCATTAAAAGTCAGACAAACCTTTCAGTTTTCCATCAAAGTTTGGATTGGTAGCTACTTTTAAGCCAGGATGAGGTAGCAGAAAACAGGAAATTTTTGTGAAACAGGAATGGATGTGTTTTCGAACATTCTGTAGTTCTTCATGCTGATTCCCTGAGACCTGCAGTAGTAAATCATCCTGAAGTTTAAACTATTTTTAATATAAATTAAACTCCAAAAAATTCTGTGGCATCTTATATTTTCTGTCTATCAGGTCCCACAATTATAAAAGTGACATGACTGGGATGATACTAAAGAAAGAATAAAATCTTGGGTGAATTTGCCACACTGCCATACCTAATTATAGTGTGAGTATGTCCTTATTTTTTATAATTAACAAATGTCTATTCTTATGCTAATTCAGATGGGCCTTCCCACTTTTTAGTATAAATTAGTCGGGCTTTATTCTAGCTAGTTTCTACAAATTCCAATGTAATTCTAAGTACTCATAGATACATGAATAGATCATAAAATATTCCTCCCTTCTTTTCAGGAGATACTCAAGACAGCTTCTTGTCACCTGGTAGGTAGGTATACATTCAAATTCTAGAAAGACATCTGAATAGGTGGGTGTTTATAAGCTAAATTTCACCTTTTTTCCCCACATGTATTTGACAGTTAATAGTATAAATTACCCTAAAAGTAATTGTAAACCTAAAAAGGTAAGGTCAGAGATCCCGATTATAAAGGAAAATTTTTTAATCTCATTTTTTCCCAGATTTCTCAGTAGGTATTTTTTGTGATATCTGTTCAATGTAACTCATTCAATATTAAACTATCATGATGTAAAAATGGAAAGTCTTCTAATTTTATTTTCTGTGAAGTATTAGCAAAATGTTCTAAGATTGGGGATTTCAAAATTAGATATTTCTGTTAAATTGACTTTTAAACTTCTACTAAAACATGAACCCAGATATTTGCAGTTGATCTTGAACTAATTCTTCAAATTAAAAGTTTTGGTTTTAGGAATAAATCATTGTTTTATAGATATCTACAAAAGAACTCTTTATCTGTATCATAATTATCGAAAATATTTAAAAATTATAATTCTGAAAGTATTTTATTAAATATCATAGTTTGTTCATAGAGATGCTATGAGGGTCAAACAAGATTGTGGCTACTGAGTATTCAGCAAATCATTCAACAAAAATAATTCTAGATTACTATTGGTGAAATTTCATGCACCTAAATATCTAACAAACCTTCAGGCGTTTTTCCAAGAATTTGGAGCCACCATCTGATCCATATGAAAATTCGTATGGGAAACTCCAGTCTCGAACAAGAAATATCAGACTCTAAGAAATAATTAGAAGAAAGAATTGATAAGGGGACTCTAAATTGCCTCCCTCTGCTTTTTAATTGAAACCAATTAAATGATATTGTCATTTGAATAATATTCTCTCTCTTTTTTTAATCCTCACCCGAGGACATTTTTCCATTTTTTGTTCAGATAGATTGGGAGGGAGATAGAGAGATAAAGATGAGAGAGAGAGCGAGAGAGAGAGAGAGAGAGAGAGAGAGAGAGAGAGAGAGAGAGAGAGAGACATCGACGTGAAAGGGACACATTGAGTGGTTGCCACCTGCACGACCCAACCAGAGCCAGGGAAAAACTGCAACCAAGGTACGTGCCCTTAGCGGGAACTGAATCCGGGTCTCCCTGGACCACAGGCTGACGCTCTAACCGCTGAGCAAAACTGGCCAGGGCTTGAATAATATTCTTTATCACATTGTGGAACTAAAAGCAAACAAAACCCCTGGTCGGTTCCCGCTAAGGGTATGTACCTTGGTTGCAGTTTGTCCCCGGCCCTGGTTGGGTCGTGCGGGTGGCAGCCACTCGATGTGTCCCTTTCACGTAGATCTCTCTCTCTCTCTTTCTCTCTCTCTCTCTCCCTCTCTCTCTCTCCCCCCTCTCTCCTCTCTCCTTTCCACTCTATCTGAACAAAAAATGAAAAAATGTCCTCGGGTGAGGATAAACAAACAAAAAAAGCAAACATAAAATGTTTGCACGTTTCTAAGCAGTCTCTCCTCTACTAGATCATCCTACCTCCTTCCCACTCAGTGTAAACCCAAAGCTGCACAAAAACTGATCCAAGTTACATAGTGCTATTCAGCCAATTTGAGGGCATCTCTGTCTTTCATTTCTTTCTTTCTTTTTAAAATCCTTACCTGAGGATATTTTTCCATTGACTCTTTTAGATAGAGTGGAAGGGAGGGAGGAAGGGGAAGAGAGAGAGAAACATCGATTGGCTGCCTCCCACACGACCCCGCCCAGGGATAGAACCTGAAACTGAACTACATGCCCTTAACTGGGAATCAAACCCAAGACCCTTGGTCCTCGAGCTCACACTCTAACCACTGAGCAAACGGACCAGGGCTCTGTCTTTCATTTCTTATTGGGATGCATTCAGCTTGGCAATTTTCAAACAGCTTCTTATGAAGATTTAAGTTTTATTTGAGGTAAGTTTTCTTCAATTATCTCTTTAGATATTTTTCCTCTATTACATGTGTATAAGTCCCTCTTCTACAGGGACTCTCATTATGCATAAATGGTATAAAAAGAGGTAAATCCTTCTAAAAGCTTATGGGGCCTGAAGCTTAAACAATCTTTGAAGAAGAGCTCAATAAGAAAAAGAATACAAAGAAAGAATACAATAAGAAAATAAGAATAAGAAAAATACAAGAATACTTAAAAGTGAATATTTAGAACGAGAAAAGTAAATTACTAATTCAAAAAAAACTGACAAATCTCTCTCACTCTCTCACACACACACAGAAAATAAGTAACATTTGTATTACTTTTTTTCCCCTATAGATTTTGGCAGTAAGTGATTTGATCATTTCTTCATATGATGATTTTGAAATATTTTCTGTTAGAAAGTTAATTCAGTCTTCTAACAAGGTCAAATTTTTTTATTATAAAATATTTTTTATTATTGATAGTTTAGAAATGTTTCATCTTCACAACTTTTATTTGTAATGTCATGTACATTTTTGGTTTCTTCATCTGTCAACTAGGATAATAATAGAACCAATCTCACAGGACTACTAAATGAGATAATATATAAGGCATTTAAAACAGTGCCTGACACATAATTAGTGCTCTGCTGTTTGATTTTTATTTTAATGGTCACACAGTATTTTAGCACATGGACAGACCATAGTTTATTTTGCCATTCTCCTAGATGGTTTCCAGTTTTTCTACTATTCTAAGAAAATCATTGATAATCATTCTTGAAGTTAAATATTTGTTCACATCCAGAAGGATTTTATCAGGGACTGCGTTTCCCAAATTAGAACACTCATTAAAATCATTTGGGAAGCTTTTAAAAGTACAGAATTCTTGGGTCCCACCCCATGCCTATTGAAACCAAAGTAATGTTAACTTTCATTTATTGAGTGCCTATTGTATGCCAACCACAATACCAGGAATTGTACACATGCTATTTCATGTATTCCTACAATGGCCCTAAGAGATAGGTTATAATTTATTATTCTTTTCAGAAGAGATATATAACAATTACCTCCACCCTCATCTAACATTAAGTAATTTGCTCTAAGTCACACAACCAGAGATGGAAGAGTTAACATTTAAACTTGGGTCTTACTTTAAAATCCCTGTTGTACTGCCCCTCAAAGTTAAGCATAAAACATGTAGTGTACAACCTGAGGGCTGATTAAAGTATGCTTTTTATAAATTAGATTAAGAGACTTCAATTTTTAGATTCCGGAAAAAAAATGTAGGAAATAAAAAATCCTATTTTTATGAAATTAGCTATCTTTAAATAATCCTTCTAAAAGCTTATATTTTCTGTCATGGCTGGTGTGGCTTAGTTGGTTGGAGTGTCATCCCATAATACACTAAAAGGTGTCGGGTTCGATTTCTGGTCAGGGAACATACCAGTTGGGGTATGGAAGGCAAGCAACCAAATTGATGTTCTCTCTCTCTCTCTCTCCCTCTCTCTCAAATCAATTTTTTTTTTTAAGTTTATATTTTCTGAGTTTCTAATGAAATCTTTTAGTCTTGCCCATTAAAAATTATGTCTTGCCCTGGCTGATTTAGCTCAACGGTTAGAGCATTGACCCATGGACCAAAGGGTGGCAGGTTTGATTCCCAGTCAAGGGCACGTACCTGGGTTGCAGGTCCAATTCCTAGCCCTGGATGGGGTCATGCAGGAGGCAACCAGTCGACGTGTTTCTCTCACATCAATGTTTCTCTCTTTCTCTCTCTCCCCCTCCCTCCCCTTCCACTCTATCTAAAAATCAATGGAAAAATATCCTCTGCTGAGGATTAACAACAAAAAAATTGTCTTTTAATTCTTTTTTAATCTACAGGTTCCTCTTCCATTCTTTTTTTTTCCTTTACAGTTTATCTTTAAGAACCTAGGAATTTGACCTGTAGAGTTTCCCATAACTTGGACCTTGCTGATTGCATATTCATGAGGCAGTTCATTATGTTCTTTTGTCCTTTCGATTTCCTGCGAATTGGCAGCTAGACACAGAGGCTTGATCTGACTCAAGTTTTATTTCTTTGGTGAAACTATAGGAAGCAAAGTGCCCTTTAACAGGAGGCACATTGTATATGATAACCTCTCCTTTGATTAAGTGATGTCATCTTTGGTTATCTAAAGCTCATTCTTTGGTAGAGTTCTCATTAAGGGCTGGTGGCAGCAATATTTTTTGCATTCTTACATGATGGTAATAGTTTGTGCCATTTATACTTGAAAGTCAATTTTGCTGGATATAAAATTGTTGGCTCACATCTTCTTTTCTTAAAAAGGAATGTTTCTTAGTTTGCATTATGGATATTTCTTGTTTCACGTTGGTGGAGCCTCTTCTCTCTTCTCTCTCTCTCTTCTTGTTTTGTTTTGTGGATTCTTGTGGGGAAAGGATAGATTCTTATGGAGAGGAGAATTTAAAAATACTTATCTCGCCCTGGCCGGTTTGGCTCAGAGGTTAGAGTGTCAGCCTGTGGTCCAGAGAGACCCGGGTTCGGTTCCCGCTAAGGGCACGTATCTCGGTTGCAGTTTGTCCCCGGCCCTGGTTGGTCGTGCGGGTGGCAGCCACTCGATGTGTCCCTTCACATCGATGTTTCTCTCTCTCTCTCTTCCTCTCTCTCCCTCCCGCTCTATCAGAACAAAGGATGGAAAAAATGTCCTCGGGTGAGGATAAAAAAAAAAAAAAATACTTATCTCTACCCTGGCCGGTTTTCTCAGTGGTTAGAGCATCGGCCTGCGGTCCAGAGAGATCCAGGTTCGGTTCCTGCTAAGGGTACATACCTCGGTTGCAGTTTGTCCCTGGCCCTGGTTGGTCATGCAGGTGGCAGCCACTCGATGTGTCCCTTTCACGTCGATGTTTCTCTCTCTCTCTCTGTTCCTCTTTCTCCCTCCCACTCTACCTGAACAAAAAATGAAAAATGTCCTCAGGTGAGGATAAAAGAATAAAAATAAAAATACCTATACCCACCATCTTTAAATATATGCCAATTTCTGTCAACATTTTTGTCAAAATAAAATATAACAATTTTTATTCAGAACATTTATACCTAAAACATGTATTTTGAAAACAGAGGTTAGCTAGGAAGCAACTTTAACAAAATAGAAGTTCATGAACCAGGATAAATGAAACCAAGTATGTGGATTTGGCTATATTTTGCATTTTTCTTGGGAGATTTTAGTCTCATTTTTTGGTCGTTTTCACTGGACACCCTCCCAAGTCGACATAATGAGGACCATGTGTAGAATAGGATCAAATATGAAGTCTTATTTTTTCAAATCAACAATTCATATTCTATTTATTTACAGGGTCAAATTCCCAAGTTTCCTGCCTAATGCAACCATCCAATGATGTGGTGGTAAACTAGCTCTCCAACAACAACAAAATACCTTGATTTGTAGCACTTGACAATTTCTGTGATGTAAATATGCACATCATGGCTGATTTCAAGCTACCAACTATTTAATATTGGCTTACATAATTCCTGAATATTTACTAATTAGCTCTCATGAACTGGTATGAGCCAGCTAAAAAAGGCACATCCATTGGCCCCACACTCTCCCAAGATAATCTGTATGCTTTATATTTATCATGTATGAAATTCTATGAATCTCAGTCCTTATTTCAAAAGCCATCTATTTTCTACACTGCTGACTCTTGATCTGTTCATACATATAGATAGAGATAAAAATCAAGACTATAAATTATCCTAATTTTCTCAGATAAAAACATTTGAAGTCATCAATACTATATTTAATTAATTAAATCCAGTCAGGCAACTGGGGCAAAGGATGGACCTATG